ACTTTCCATTCATAGCGTTTACTAACAGTTGAAGGTAGAAAAGAACAAGCGTCTGACAATCAGTTATGCTTTGCAATAAAAACCAATTTGTTTTGCATCAGGACCTAGTCACTGTGCTCTTGAGCTACGGTATAAATGATTATAGGGTATCTACTGAATTCTGCAAGTTAGGTGTGTCAACAACAGCAGCACACACTTTGATAAGCCATACTATACACAAAGAGCTAAATTCTGTCTAAACAGCCATAAATCTCTCTAAAAGGAATGGCTCAACTAGGATGTCATCTTAGCTGCTCTAAAACCTTTTGCATTTAAAGAAAATAATATTTACAAAAATTACCTCCCTTCTCTACAAACACATGATTCCTGAACAGCAACACTCAGTTTTACCTATTACAACCACTTCAAGCAATTCACAGGTCAGATGACAACACGTTGCTGACTTTCACGCTGCTTGGGCCCAGCTTATTCAAGGAAATTCCCTTTGCCCTGCAACGCCTGTCAAGTTTAAGCCTTGAAATCAATCCAGGTAACGTTCAACCACAGGCTTCTGGCCTATGCACAGAACCTCTATGGCATGAAATTTTATGCTCTGTGTCATTCAGGAGGTCAGAAGGGATTATCACAATGTTCCTTTTTAGCCATGGTACCTATAAGCCTGGGCATATAAGCCACCCTGGAAAGCCATTCTCAAACAACTGTTTTAAATTGGACTCTGAGCAGTCCTTGAACTCTACTTCAGGAGAAAGCAGCTCTGTCAAGATAACAGCTTTACGGCTTTCAGTCCTTCTAGCAAAAATAGTGCTTGCTTTGTGTACCTCCCTCGGTTTCACATGCTAAGCAGACATCCTCTATCCAACCCTTACCACTCTCTGCAAGTCATTCCACAAACATCCCACAGCTGAAGAAGCAATTGTTCGTCATACAATCTGAAAATTCAAATATGGAAAAAGATTTTCCTGGAAAAAAAAACCTTTGATATAATTGCAATGACCTGGATGATCAGGAATTTCCTAGCCATGAACAGAGTTTCCACAGCAAGACCACCTTGGATAACGTAAGCAAAACTATCCCACTCTTTCATTCATTCAGAAGTGCTAGTGCTACTCAGCAATGGATCAGATCATTGAATGCCCTTCTCTGTCACAAGATGCGTAATTCAGGAGTACCAGTAGGGGAGAAAGCATCAGCAGCTCTGGATTACCCATTCTCAGACACATTCAGTTGTGAAAGAGACCCATTTACCCTCCATGTGACTTGACTTTCCTGTGTAAAAAGAGCAGAGATATTTGCTAATTGGATTAGAACATGCCTCCTTTGGGAATCACCACAGCAGCACAAGGGAGTATTTACTTCTTTGTTACATTTTATTCCATTTAGCCTTTTCTCTTGTCTTGATCACCAAGTAGCACAACAAAGAGGGAATGATGCACAGGACAATAAAGTTAGCCATTGATCTGCAGGAAATGCTTAGTAACGTCTTTGACATAGCAGGGCTTATACAGAGAAGATAAAGCTACTGCAGCTTTGTGACTAATGACTTGTCAGCTGAGCTGCACTATTACGCCCTCCCACTTCAAGGTAACCGTGAAGACAAGCATTTTCATCCTTTGAGGTCACCTAACATAGCTCAGGTTATAAGTATATACAAGACACAGTACATCTGTCACCTGCGCACTCCCACCCATTCTTGTGTAATCCACTTCAACCAATAACAAGCCTATCATTACCTTCCAACCAAGAAGAAGCTACAGCACAAAACTCATTTCAAAGTTGCAATGTTAGGAGAGCCACTTTAAAGATCCATTTGACTCTCTGTGCAATTCAGTTTGGTTTCTAAAAAATAATAAAGAAAAGAAAATCACAGATTCCCTTTGAAGTGTACTGGTATTGCTGAGACACCACCCATCATAGTTGGATGCGCATCACCACCAGAGTGGCCTACGCAATCAACTGCGCATCCACTGACTGTTCTAGCACATTACTCTCTTTGGGGGGTTGCACGCATTCAGAGGAGAACGAAACTGTGTTCCACCTCTCCACTGCACGTCAGGGAAGCCAGCAGCTGCAGAGCTGTGCATGCCAAGCGCAGGACACGTTTTTTCCTGCCGTGTCCCGTGCACAGAAAGAACATCAGCCTCTTCAACTAAGTCATTACTTTGCTCCTTGGAGAAGTTATTCACACATACATCCAAATTCTTGGCCCACAGGTAAGGCTGCTGATACAGCCAAGGACAGCTCGACACCTCTCTGGTAGCAGGGCTAGATGCGACCTCACGGGATCTACTGATCCCTTCCATCACACAAAACATCAGGATGTGCTGGAATGAGCACAATTCAGTGAAAAGAACTACGTAATTCTGCATGCTTGTCCTAGCTTCACCAATCATCTGCTGTACTTCTCTGGTACATGATACAAATTTTGTCTTCATATTCAAGTATTATCTCCATTATTTTCTAGCCTACCTGTACAGTTTGGGGGACGGGATCTGTGAAGTACCATATCATATTAAGCATCCAAAGCCACTGGCACTTCCTCAGAAACACTGGCCAGCAAGGGACTGGAAAAGACTTGACCTTTTTTTTAAATCTCATTTCCATGGCAATCAGGGGCATTAAAGCAAATTAACAGTGGGTCAGGGGCTTTGAATTTTCTTTTTTTAATCTTACCTGAATTTCACAGGAATACTATTTGAGAAGCAGCTGGTAACATAAGTTCTCTCTCTTAAGGAGCTTTAGTATCTGCCAGACTTTGGCCGCTGCAGCTTCGTATGGGTACAGGTATACTCATCTCTATTTCTTCCCTTTTGTGCCATTCCAGACTGAAACCTGCCTTGAACATGAGCTAAAAATTAATCATCCGTGGAGAAATCAGAGAGTAGCAAAATACGGTAGACCTGCCCTGGGCTTTTGATACTCACTCAGCCTAGAACATATTTGGGACTGCAAATAAACTCCTCTCAGCTTGGGTCCTCAATGCCAGTACAGAAGCTGGTGACTGCAACCTCTCCTGAGGACCATAACAGGGAAGGCAGAGAGGCTGATGGTTAATATATCCCTTTCTGTTACACCTAACACATAGAATACAGCCTCACTTATCCAGAGCTATCACATACCTGTCTGCTTGCTTGCTTAAGGCTGACCAACCAGTTAGGAAGATATATGGCAGCACTAGATGAATTCTTTTCATTTATCTTCACCATGGAGAAGATGGAGTTACCTATATTGGAGGCCACCACAAAGGAAAGTGAAGAAAAAATAGCAAACTCCATAACATGATACTGTAGGAGCAATGCCCCAGTCCCAGTATGGATCAACTCAATACCCAGTCCCAATATGGATCAACTCCACACTGAGCTGGGAGCTTGACAGTCAGTCCCCCTTAAAAAAAGAAAAAAAAAAAAAAAAAAAAAAAAAAAAAAGAGAGCTGTGTACCTCAGCAAGGAACCCCTTTTTCTAGACAAATTCAGTCTTCCTGCTGCAGGCCAGTTCCTGATTTAACCTTAATTTTCACGTGTCACTACAAAACTCTGGAAGTGTTGCCTTTGCAGACATGCCAAATGTAAAAAGAGTTTTCAGTGAACTCAGTATTTTTCCACATCTACTATTGTAGCTGTCAGCAGCATGGGAATAGCAAATTCTCCCTTATCTCCCTCCTCTCTGAGAGCATCTCTGTTTTAGCACTGGCTGACTTACGCAGATCCCTCACTGCATGATCCCTTTTGGAAGCTGGACAAAGAGCAGGGTGGGAGAGTCACTGGACTTGTAAGCAACAAACCACAGAAGGAGATGGACTGTCGTGCAGAGGGAAAGTAGCGGGGGAAAGAGGTGACTAATGAACAGAAGGGGGTGCCTAAAATCCTCTTTGGATTGCCTCTCTTGGGAACAGCTGTTTCCTTGTAAACATCTTGCTAGCTGTCCAAACAAGAAGTTCAGACACAGAACAATAAAGGAGAGCACCCGGGTAGAAGTGTTCAAGGCAAGGGTTCATTCACTACCCTGCCAATTGCTCCAAGTGGCAGAATTCAAAGGGCAGGGAAACTTAGCTGTACATTTAACCCTGCATGTGCTGGCATCATAGCTAACGGCCTGCAGAAACGCATCCTCATCTGTGGTAAAGTCCTTCCTAGCCCTCACTTTTTCCACTGTTTCCGACACACTAGCAGAGCACATTACTTGACAAAGGGTAAGAGAAATAATCCTCATTAAAGTGAGAAGAAACAGCAGCAGAGACAGGCAAATGAAAAACCTGCATACAGCAGCCCTGAAGGCCTAGAAAAGTTCTATCACTGCAGCAACATCAGCAACCTAGAAGTGGAGGGCGTTACACCAGAAAAAGTAAAAAGAGTCTTTTCACCAGTCCTGAGCACAAAACAGTCTACGTTGGCAGAAGCATTTTTATGCCAATACAACTGTGTCTATACAGGACTCTTGCCAGCACTGCAAGGTAGCTGCGGGCAGGGGGAGGAATACCAGCACAGCTATGCCAGTAAACGTTCCTAGGGCAGGCTAGCCACCTGTATTGCACAACAGTAAGCAGAGACAGTGCACCACATTTGTTCATTCTTCAAAGCTTTCTGAGTCAAACGCATACATATAAGGCTGCAAGCCTATCCAAGAAGCCCCATCTCCAAGATGCCACACAGCTATTAACAAAGGAGTGAAATCAGATCAAACGTACATCCTTAAAGAAAGGGGGTCGCTTTGGAAGTAAGGCAATTCACAAAACAGTAGGACATCATACCTGACAATAAGCGAACCTATGTTCTGAGCCTACAGTCTAGTTTTCTACAACTTCTTGTCCACCTTCAGCTGTCCTACCTTGCCTTTTATAGATTCTATTCAACACAAATCACTCTTATCCTGGTAACTATGTCTCCTACTTTACTCAAATGACCTACAGAAGCAGGAAGAGGATAAGCTGAGTGACACACTCACAATCAGAAACAACAACAAGCAATTCCACATTTCAGAAACAGTCCACAAGTTCACAGGAAAGATCTGATGCAGTCAGATTTATTTTACCTTTTTATTTCTTTTGGGCCATTTTGTTGTAGTCGTGCACAAATAGCCAGGTAAAAAGACACGCTAACAAGGGCCGCTCAAAAATAAACCCTTGGTCATTACAAGAAGAGGAGAGTGCAAGTTCTGCTGATTAAAATCCCTCTGAGCCTAAAAAAGGCAGCTGGCTTGTTGCATCAAAGTCCAAACCAATCGGGGACTCCACCTCGTCTGGGGTCACCTCTCTGCCTCTGCTCCTCTTTCTTGAGATATTTATTCTTGAAGTCATCAAAAGAGCGAGCTTCTGGGGTTTGTTCTTTTTCTGGAAATAGGTTGGGAAACTGAAAGGTTTGTCCTTGGCCCTAAAGAGAAAACAAATGGTCAAACACACATTCCAGCCTTTCCGCAGTAGCTATGATGCATACACTTAAAACTACAATGAAAGACCACCCTGAAGTTTCAGCTGGTGCAAAATGTTACCTACCTCTCACCTCTCAAGATCTCTTTTTCTCCCCCCCCTCTCTGCAAGACACACGTATACCCCCTTCTCCCCAATATCCTAACTTTCAGCCTCTTCCCTTCTGTGTGCAAATTAAGACGCTGGCATCATTCTTTTCAGAATAAATGTGAGTGATCCGGAGATGGACATTTCTTACAATATTCAACTTTGAACCAGCCCTGTGATGTTGTATTGAGTCATACAGTAAAAACAAGACCAGTGAAATAAGTGACGCTGTTAAAGTAACACCATCAGGGAAATGCACGGCAGGGGGAGGAAGGCACCCGTTACATTAATGCTTAGAATACGGGTAGCGGTTATAGTTGTTTAGATCTCATCTAAGTATAAGAGAGCCTACAGTTCAGTCCTAGCAGCTGTTATTACAGGGGGTAACGTGGGAATACAGAATAACAGATAGCAGAGGTCTGTTATCAATAGGAATAAAAACTAGAGTGTAAAACAATTACAGTGGGAACAATCTGTCTAATACATCAGTGATGAGATTAAAATGATTATATCTGCATCAGTCATTCTGCCTAACAGACAAGTCATTTTAGTACATCATCATCAGATCTATGTCTCCCACTTGGAAAATAAACATTTGCTTGGTCTCTGGTTTTTATCTAACAGCAGGAAACCATTATTCTGTGGAAATGTTCTATCCCATTAACATTATCTACTTACTTTTTAAGTGGTGTTTGCACTAAGCACAACTTCATTAAACTCAACAGTATCGGCTCTTCCATTCTTTTCCACTCAGTATGCAACTTTGCATAATACAACACTTAACTGTTAGGGACCATTTAATAATTATTCTCCAAAATACTTACAAACCTTAGCATACGTGAACTACTCTGCCAGAATACTGCCCACTGAAATCTCAACAAAAGCATTTAATTGCCTCAGACAGAAACAGTTTTGGCAAATCACCCATTCTTTATACTTGTGCAGGAAATATAACTAAACCAGAGGCCTAGTTATGAAATGGTTGCACAAAGGAGATCAAATGAGCCTTCCACAACATATCCACCATATATTTTGGAACCAGAAATGTGACAAAATTAAATCTGAAGAAACTGTCACTATGTCCTTGACCCAGCTGAATGTGTGTTATGATTCATTCAGCCATATATGTTCAACGTGGTAATTTACAGGTGTGAAAGAATTCAAATCTCAAGCATACGCTTTGGAAAGAGAAAACATGACTTATCCCAGGTGAGCTTATCCAGACTAGAATCTAGGAAATATCAACTCATACATAGCAATGCTCCCGTTGTTTTTGTAGTGCATACTTCTTGGGGGTTTCCTAAGAGCCTGACCATACTACAAAAACAACAAGGGAGCTTCTGTATACATTGCTCTTTCCCAGATTCTAGCCTGGATAAGCTCAACTGGAACAAATCATGGTTTTCCTTTCCACAGCGTACACTCTGGGGTTTAAACTCTTTTGTACTTTTAAATTACCAACAGGTATGCTTACCATAGCTGTCCTGTGACAATTAAAGCATAGTTGCATTTTGAGACACAGAACCAGGTCTTATTAATGTCCTTGAAGACATACCAAGCTGTAGCGTACTGAAACTTCCAGCAGTAGGGAGCAAGCACCCTTGAGACCCAGGCCTACTCAAGGCTTTAGCATACTGAAGCATCCGGAAAATAATTTGTTTACATTACAAAAAATTACTCTGTTTTAACTGCACTGCAGGCAGGTCACTGAGTCCAATGGTACCTACAGAACAGGCAAGGCCAATTCTAAGGACTCGTCCACTCTGGAGAGGAAGCCATTGTAGTCAAGAAATCAGAAAATGCTTCAGGCTAACTTGGTAGGCACATCACCTACACTGAAAGTTTGAGAACTATTTATATTGGTAGCAGCGTAGTAAAGGGCTGTTCTTGCTATGCAGTACTTCCACTCGGCTATGTTTCCAGCACCAACGCACTTCCCTTACTGGAGAAGGAAGGAAAGCTGTCCCTAAAGCATACTAAGAACATCCACAGTAATTCACTGAGCATTGCAAAACAGCTTTTATTAAAAAAAAAAAAAAAAAAGAGATATGCACAGAGGCTGTAGTAAAACCAGATGAATATTTCAGCTGTTTATCAAAATGCTCACAGTTCCCGTTTCAAGGCTGGTGAAAGTCAAATATTGAGCTGAAAATGTCAATCTGTATCTGGAGTCTTTTAATAAATAAAAATCAGCACAGACACGTTGGCTCTTTCCAGATCTTGTTTTGTGAAAAAATTCTGATTTTGGCTGGCAGCCAGACAAGATTTGAAACAGCCAAGACATTACACCCTCAGAACTGAAGGTTGATAAATCTTAAGTAACAATACCATGCAGTAATACTGCACTGTAAGACTCTAGAGTGATGAAAACTGTATGAAAAATAGCTGTTGTGCATGCTCAGTAGCTAGTCTTCAGAAGAAGCTTGTATCTTGGGTATTTCAAACTTTCAAGAGGCACCAACTTACATAAAGGGCTGAGAGTCCGTCCAAGCATATTTACATTCAGTGCATCTTCAACATGATGCCAGATGCTACCAAAGTTCCAGCTCACGTGCCACCTTCTCAAAAAAAAACGTCTACCAAAGGAATGGACGGATCATCGCTCCCTCATGTAGTGCTGTTCAAAATATTATCCTTTTTTCCTTTGTAAAAGTTTTCCCTTCTATATAATATCCATTTGACAACCATGTGATAAATGCATCCTTAGAGTGAAAACCTAATTGGGATAAAGTGAACAACTAAATTTCTAATGAGTTCAATAGAGTGAGGGTTTTATCTAGTTTCCAGACTGCTAGAACATGAACTGCTAGCATATTTAATCAGAAACCAGAAATTTGGCTTATTCCTAAGCCTGACATTTGTTCACTGTGCTACCTTTTGCTGTGTTCACTGTGCTACCTTTTGTCCATTTAAGGGAAGTCTTCCCTTTAAATTTTGAAGATAATAAATTGAAATGGACTCTAAAAAGGCTAAGGTTTGACCTTTTAGAACTTTTGGGAGCACAATTACTTTAATTAGGAGCACAGAAGCAGGGGGAGAAGATAAGAATACGCTCCTAACCTAATACAGCTCTGCCAAAAGAACACCCTCTAGAAAAGGCAAAAGACATCATTTTGCTCTTGTAATTTAACCTGCCTTGGAACTGGATTCTGCACTGCCAGCAAAAGAACTTTTCCATCCGTGTGAGGTGGTACGCTGACAAATTCTGGAGTTTTTCAGACAAGCTCTACCACCAAGCCCTTTTTTATCTAAATATCCCTCATAACGCTTTAAAGAATAAATGAATAAAAAGGAAAAAAGCAAACTATGGAGGAAGTTACTTAAAAGGGTATTTTACTGTTAAAATATAAAAAGCGTTAAAATATAAAAATAAAGGCAATGTGATGATTTTACATATTGCTGTCTTGGATTTAGGGTCTTCCCAGAGGCTTCCCTTTTTCCTACAAATTGTAAGGTTACATATAAGCGAGATGCGTGGTCCAGTGTTTGGATAACAGAAAAGGGCGCCATTAAACTTCTACTCCTGCCCACATCTAATCCTTGTTTCAGCATTATCCAAAGGTAAAACTGAATTATATACTAGGTCTTATGAAGATTCATTACTAAATACTAACATTCTTCAACATGGAAAGTGACCTAAGCTCCAAGCAAATATTTTCAGCTTACATTTCAAGTCTTTTTTGGTTATTTAGGGTGGAGACACACCTTTTTCTCAGCGTCTACAGAAGGAATTACCACATCAAGTGGTACAAATTGCCTCCATTCATTTTAATGGCAGGTTAAGTGACCATAATTAGGCCTATGAAGTCAAGTGTTAACCTTTCCACTGCTGAGCCTCATGTCAGAAAATTGTAAGGCGGATTATCCAACACAAACGCACTTATACTCTTCTGACCTTTGCATCCCCTGAAAAGTTTAGCAATGGAAGGTCAGCACAGATATTGTGTAGGAATGACGCAGCAAACACTGATCATGTAAACAACTGTGAGGTCTTCTGATTATTTAGATAATTGAAGCACTTACTACTGTCCTTCAGAATTAGGAGAAAAGTGATGTTTATAGTGTCGTTAACTAAAAAATGTTGGACTCCCAACAGTGTGGGATTTGGTCCAGCAGTAGCAGCAAATGCAGCTAAGTTTAATAATCCAATGCATTTGAACAATTCTCCTACTATCTCTGTGGCAATATCTGATGTCAAAATAACAAGTATGGCAAAACAGCACAGAAAATAACTTTAAAATCCACATGGTAATGCCACAGCATACAGAGAATCCAATTTTCCTCCAAATTCATTAGATGCAAGATGAAAATTGCTGTCACATCTGATGTGCAAATGGGTTAATTACAATGAATGTACAGGACACTAGCCAGGGTTTGAGGAGAAAGCATTCGCAAAAAACGCTCCCACTTGTGCCATCACTCATGCAGCTAAATAGGTGTTAGTCCTAATGTTGACAAGGTCAGACTCCTTTTTACAGCCATCTCCATTAGATTTCTCAAAACAGGTTTAATTAAAAATAGGTCTAGATTCCAGAGGCTTGTCTACACTTGGGCTCCCACGGGTGCTAACACCTGTTGAGCTAAACCAGTGAGAACACTGAAGGAGGAGGAGGGGATGTTGTTGTTTTTTTAAAATTTCCCTGATGTTGATGCAACTGTAAGGTTTCCCACTGACTTTTTTATAACAGTGGGATAATTATAACTTTATCAGAGTAGAGAAAAAGGTTGCTGCATTACATTCATTTAAGCTACTTGACAAAGATATGCCCCTTTGATTTTAATTAAGAAAATAAAACAGTGTAAAAAAAAGAAGCATTTGAAAGCAATGGCCATGAGTCTGTAACTGACACCTTTCTCACCACGTTCCAAAAAGGGGAAAAAAAGGTAGACAGGCTCTTGAATGGCAAGATATTGTTGATCCACAGCCTTCTATGATTTGAGGTATTTTTTTAATGTGAAAATATTATGCTTGGACTGATCATGTATTTGTCCAGTTAGAGTCTGAGAATAAAGTAAACAGCTCTGAATCTCCAAGAAATAGTATTGAGAAAAGAAAGGACAACAATTCTTACATGTGGAACAGCCAGGGCACTAATCTGACACTTATGGGTATACCGACTATGACTTCATACATCTTTCACCTTTAAGACACTTATAGTATGTTAAGTGATATATATGTTGAGTGAGGACACATAAGATAATGTTTTATGAAGCAGGCAAGAGTAATTAGTCACAAGAACATACTCAACTCCATCCAGGTAAACCACAACAGAGCCGCTAACAAGTCACAGTAGGAAGAGCAATACTTCCACCTAGTGGGCAACAGGAAGATCAACCCAAGACCTTCCAAAAACAAGCACTTACTTTTCCAGTCATAAGCAGTTTTAACTCGAAACTGGATTAATGAGAGAAAACACAGCTGGTAAAAATGGTGGGAAAGCCCAGCTACTCTGACTCACGGCAGATGCAAAATAATTCTCAAGAAAATAGGGATTTTACAGTGGTTACCAAAGACCTCCCTACATTAGGCAGATCTTAACAATGGACTGCAGGGGGCCTCTATGGGCCAGAATCAAACCATGAATGAGCATGAAGGCAAAACCTTCAGGTTTCAGAGCGGACACTGAGGTTTCTGGCCTTGCCCACGGTTTGAAGTTGGTATCTGAGATACCAGAACTAGTGATTAAAGGCAAAGAAACAAAATAAAAAAAACAGACAAGGCATCGTCGTCCCCCACCCAGAGCACAGACTATGACTTCCTTGAAGAGAGGCGTGTGTTTTTTCCAGCAAGACAGCCATCGTAATGCAAAATCCTCATGGACGCAAGGCTAGCTTTAACTTCAGCACAGTAAATCAAGGTTAGGTCTGATCTAAATATAAATCTGTTACTTTCTATTAACAGTGTATTTTACGTGGTTCCTTTAAAGATAAAGGCTGTCTAGAAAAACCTACTGTCCTCATTTTTCTTCCCATCCTCTTCCCCTTCCTAAAAGGGGCTAAGAGAAAAACTTTTAAGCTCATTTAAATTCGGCAAAAATAGGAAACACCAGATTTCCATTTGTCTGTACATCTTTAATTTGACCCCAAGTGCATATGAATTCTTACGTAGTCTTTAAACTGTAAAGATCACGCAATGTTCCTCCACCCAGAATCCTTGTATGGAGTAACACTGAGGTTGCTTTGCCAACAGCAATTTTAAAATTTACCATTTTGCAACATAAATAGCACTGCTTTAATGTAATTTCTGCATATGAACGGGTTTGCTGATTTTTTTTTTTGGTTAGTTGGTTTTCTTTTTCACATGGGGACAGGTAAGCCCAAAAGAAGTATAAACTATACTATGCTCCTGTTATGAAAGAAAAGTTGTAAGAACATTAAGCTTCTTTTCCACTGGGCAACCAACATATGCTTTAGAACCCAGCTTAGCCACAAAGCACACTTGCTAGACATGACTAAAAGCTCTCCAAGGAATATGCCTCAGTCTTCTCCAAGATCCAATGAGATCCAATAAAAAGTTCTCCACCCTTACAATATATTCTTTCACTTACTGGACATTTCAGCAATCAACCACACAAACGGTGAACCTTCCAGCACACTGAGTACAGGGTCAGCCTGAAACTTACTGGCAAAGCAGCACCCTATGACATCAGACCATAACTTACGTACAGGCCTCAAACAAAACGGGACTTGAAAACTAATGATTTACTTGAATTTGCTTTTTACACTAAGTCATTTAAACCAGTATATCTCTTTATACAGTCTGGCAGGTATTAACGATGACACTATTATTAGAGGATTGGCAGAAATATACAGCCAACTGGACAATTCACTGAACATTACTTCTAGATTGGCTGATAAACAGTCCCTTCCTCTACCCTGGCAAGCATCCATGTTAACTCACCAGCTGTACATAGGCGACCTTGTAATCCGGCTTCTTCACTCTCTGATTCTTGTGGTTCCTCCTGTTGTGCGCACCTGCACAAATGAAGAGAGCCCCACCATTACTCTCCAGAACTTCTAAGCTCCCCAAAGCATGGCCAAGCTGAAGGAGCTCATTAGTTTTGGTTTACTGTTAAGAGGAATATTCTTTCTTCAACACGAATACAGACACCCTTTGCAGCAGTACCGCAACTACTAAAACGTTTTGAAATTGGTAAATACAGGTAGGGAACTGAGGCATCACCCAGCTCAGGCTGCTGAGGGCAGCTCTAGCTACATGATCACACAGAAAGTTTGCAAGGGAGCAAGGAGGCAACTCTCCCAAGTAGTGGGGCCAGGAGTAATAAACTGTCCTCCCTACATGAACTGCTTTGGGGACATAAGGAGGAAATGCCTGCTAAACAGCTACAAACATGTCACCTCTTACTGGCCAGCTAATGTTCTAGAGCATGAGCACGATCCACTGTTTTGCTGTTTATGCATCAGGAAATCGCACTCTACATTCAAAAAAACAATGCATTTTGACTTCCAGCAAGTACGCTGGTCACGGCTGAATCACGAGTTCAATTTATTCTCTCCATGTTAGATAGACCTTAAAGTTCTCAAATTATTACGCTTGCTGACTCCTTTCCCCTTTTATCCCCAAGTATATACATTGTACCACTACTTCCAGTAGCTGTGGGGGACAAGACAGCTATAAGGACAAGCATGAATATTTTCCAGTGCTGTTTGAAACTGCATGTGTTTGGTATTAAGGCTTTCTTTCATTTTATTTTTTCACATAAGCATATTGCAGATACTATCCTGTTTTCTTTTTCTTCTTCTCCATGTTCTGAAGAATTTTACAACCTTCTCTTGAAGTTTTCTTTCATTTCCATCTTCCCATTTTTATCTATTTCAGCTTTTTCCCTAACCCTTTTTTAAAATTCATCCTTATGCTTACCATTACAAGCGCATCAACCAGTTCATTTGCAAGAATCAGTGCACAAAGTAGTCCAGCCATCGAAGACATCCCTCCCAATAAATCACATCCCATTTGATTAATGCAGCGCCCTATGATCAAAGAGGTAAATAACAAAAAGTATCTTCCCAATTTTGCACTGCATCCACACTGCACTCAGAGAAGCTCTGGGGAAGGAAGTATTAATATGCAGAGGTGAACCTATTAATTTTTATTCTGTTCAGTTAAGAGAGGTGTCCATCTGCTCCACCTGGTGTTCAGAATAACTTAAAACAAATGGGAGGGGGAATGCTTGGGTTATTTTTGAGTGGTGGTGTGGGGAGGGATTATGAAAGAAAGTGGCAGGTCTGTAACAGCTGTGCAATGACTACAAGTGTTGAAAAAATGAAAGTTTAAGATGTTTTTCTGATTTTATCTACTGGTCTAATAGAGTTTTTTACCTTTCCCTATAAACTTTGCCTTTTGTTAAACCATAAAACATCCTCTAGGTGCTTCCTAGGTAATCTCAGGTGACAGTCATAGGCCTTTTTTTTTTTTTTCCTTCTCCAACAAGTTTCATTATCAATTTCATTAAAACACATGAAAGCAGTTCCTGTTGAAGTGAGATGTCCACTGGTCTTTAAGGAGAAATGGTACTAACTACAAAAGCATACTGCACAGGCTAGATAAAAGCAAGGTTTTAAGGCTTTTCAAATTCAGCTTTTTATTTATAGAACTCAACATGTCATAATCTAATCAGACCATTCAAATACGAAGCAGTGCATATTTGCTCTGAGGAACAAATAAACCACTGAGCTGGCAGATGTCGCCACGTAAGTACCTGCAACCAAAGTACGCTGAAATCTAACGCAGCTTTTGACAGCAGAAGTGTTTTCAGGCCGCGCTGGGAAGCTGCGGCCATCCCTCTGGATTACTCAACCGCACTCACCATATTGTATCCTAGTCCTCACCGCCGCTACTGGCACATTGTATATTTTTTCAAGGTAATTCTTGATGTCCACTTTTGTCATTCTAGGCAAAGGGAAAACATTTTGGGGAAAGGAGAGAAAGAAAAACCACAAGTATTTTAACTAAAACCCAAACAGAACCGGTGCGTTTATGTGTAGTTCACGGTCTGGAACAAACCCGCCTTCTCCTTTTGACCAAGGCAGCATTCACTGAACGCAGACGGCCAAAACAAGCCATAACCCAGGCAGCCCAACAGCACTAAGTGCTTAATTGCCCACAGTCGCGACAGTCAAGACAT